CACTTTTAAGCAAGGCTTACAAAGTGTGGTGATTCCATGCAGCTTTCTCCACTCTATCTAGCTTCTTACCTTCATCCCCAACAACAACAACAAAGTGATATCATTCACTTACAAAACTGTTGTGGTAAGGAAAACTTTTATAAAATAAGGATTCTCATGACTTTGATTTTTAAATTACGGTTGTGTGCCTAAAGAAAGGACAGAGATGGTGGAGTGTATGCAAAGAAGTAAGATAGTGGGTCTTGATTGACACCTAGGGCAGAGCATCCCTTCTGAGAAGAATTAGGGGGAACCACTTAGAGATATGGCAAGGAGGTGCTAGAAGTGCCAAAAGGCAGCCAAGGCTTGCTTGCCTGTCACCAAGACACTGATGATAGTCACTGATGGTTGAATCTGAATCTGAGCTTGAACTGTTGAAAGTGCTCCTGTCATCATTATAACTGCTATTCCTCTGGGCCTTTTTCTGTCTGTACCAACTTATTCTCTGTAGCCAAAATTGTCCATTCTTTTTTGTTTTATATTTTATGTATTCTTTATGGAGTGAATATTTTCTTGAAGCATTATAAATAAATTGTGATTTTTAAATGGTAAATAAAATTCATCTTGGGCTGGGAGTGTAGCTCCATGGTAAGGCACTTTCCTGGCATGTGCAAAGCTCTGGGTTTGAGTCCTAGATCAGTAAAAAGAAAATTTATCTTAATACAGAAAAGTATAAAGAAGCAAACATAAAGGTTCCAAATCTTCTCATCTAGAAAACTCTGTCAATGTTTTTGAAAATAAAAGCATATGTATTTATATAATTAGAGTGTGTACAATATCAAGGTGTAAACTGAAAAGCAACCCCCACCCCCTCTCCAATCCTTAGCCCCTCATCTAGTGTGTTTATATATTGTACAAGGCACTATTATATGAATCCAGCAATGAATATCAATTGTTCTGGCCCTTCAAAGGACTTTCAGTGTAATAGGTCAAAGGATCATAAACAAGACATGTAAATGAAATTACGAGTTATGTGCAATCATTTGGCAGCTAAGCAGCCATGGTGTGATGCAAACATCTGCCTCAGCTGTAAACCACAGCTCACTATTGTCCCCTCACCCCTCCATGTCATGTGACTACCGTGTGACCTTAAATACTTGCGATCCCTTCACCCAACATATGGATTTATAGGATGGGTGTGATAATTCTTCCTGGTCTGATGAGTTTTGAAAATTGAATGAGTAAGAATATACTTTATAACTTGTATGGCCAGACTTACTGTCATCACTTCTGTAATTCACAGGTGTATCTTGAAGAATCACTTTTAGACAGCTCTGCCAGCCCCAATTTGACCCACAGTTACCTTCTGTTTGGCTTGCACTATTTTTTAAAATGAAAGTTGCTACAGTGTAAAAATCAGGAGTTTATATGAAAATGGCTTCATTTTGAAAATTTCCCTTGAAAACTGCTCACACTGGGCCTGTATTCCCATTTTTATTGCTGAGGAGCTGCTTCCCCTCCAGTTTGCCATAAGCCCCACCACTCCCACTAACACTAAAACCTTGCTTCTCATTTTTTAGATAAGAAAAATTTTGTAGTGCCCACATTCCTATCAAAAGTAATGGGTAAAGCTACTCCTAGGCAGTACAGTATATTACTGAAATCTGCATCGTGAAATGGATTTTAATTCCCCCATAGAAACAATGGAATTTGTGTTCTTAACAAAAGCAGGTCATAAATTTTAGGTCTATCAAACAGCAGAAATGTCACACTAAAGCTCTTATCAGTAAGCCTCCTATATAGGACTGTATACCCCCTGAATCAATTAGGCTATTTCAGGAGCAACAACAATAAATCTGACTTTAAAATATCCCTAACAGAAAAGATATTTATTGTCTCCAGAACAGGAACAGGGTGGTTCCAGGCTGGCTCAGGCACTGCCTGTTGTCCTCAGAGCCTCAGCCTCTGATCCTCTGTGTTCTGCCATCCCTTGCACCTTGCTTTGACTCTGAGCATATCCCTTAGTTGTTCCAAGATGGCTGCTGCAGTTTGGGGAAACACATGGGCCAGTATTACCCACAAGTCATGTAACATCCCATAAAATAAACAATCATTTTTTTTCTTTAGCTCTGTCTCTCTTAGTGAAAGAGAAAGCCTTTCCCAGAAGCCCCTGGTAGACATCCTCTTGAATCCTTATCCAAAGAGCACCCAGTTTTTCCCATCTACTTACAAAGGTATTACACTAAACTTTCCCCTTTTCCCTCATTCCTCTCATTCATTGTGACCTACCATTCGGGGCTTAAAAATCTGTCCACTACTTTCTCTCCCTGTGTTTAGTACATTAACTCAGATCCTCATTAATCCTTTCTGTTCTTATTGCTTCTAGTTTGTCTATCTTCTACATTACTACCAGAATGATCTTTCAAAACACTTCTCACGTTACTATCTTGCTTAAAACCCTTCAGTGATTCTCAATCACAAGATTAAACATTTTTCTAGCTGCGGTAATTATTCCTCTTCCTCCCTTTGAGAGGGGAAAAAAACCACATAATGCATGCAAGTGTGGTACAGTAGGATGCAAAGCTGCCCTGGCCTAAGTAGGGGTGGGGAAGGGACCCTACTTCAGCCAGGTGGGGCCCCAAAGCCTTTCCCTGGTCCCCTGAAGTAGGGGCAGGAGGAAATGCCTATTACACAGCTGGTGTGGCCCTTAGGAGTGTCATCCAGGCTAGAGACATATGCCTAAATGGTACAGAAGCCAAAGACAGGGGCATGCTCACCCAGAGAATATAGAGAGAGAAGGGCCCTACCCAGAGAAATGGCCCCAGGATTGATACCATGCCCACAAATCATGTAACATCTCATAAAGCAATGTATCTCTTTTGAAAGGGTCGCCGAAGGGGGTGACACACGGACGTTCAAGCAAGCTTTATTGGGGCAGTAGTCTGCAGCCTACCAGGCTGACTCAAAGAATGGAGATCAGAAACTGTACGGGCTGAGCTGGAGGCTTATATAGGGATCTTGCAGATGGAAGAGCACTAGTCCATTGGTGGGGGTGGGTGATTGGGGCTGGGGTATGTAGCAACAGGTTTTGCTCAAAGGGGGATGGAGTCACCACTTTCGGGAAGCCCCTATCTTACTGGAACATCTGACCCTGAAACCGGTGGGGCAGAAAGACCTTAACTAGGCAGGGAGTCACTAACAAAGGGAGGTCAAGCCATAGTTATGCAGAAGTTCCCTATTCCCTGTGGTCGGAGTAGGGCAAGGGGAAAGGAGAGAAGTGGGCTTGCTCTGTGGGGGCTCTGAAATACCTAACATCTTTCACCTTTCAAACTCCAAGAAAATGCCTTATTTGGAGAATTTATTCTCACATTGCATTAGACAAGTTTATCCGGTCTTGTTCATCTCCATACCTCAGATGCTTGAGAACAAAGTAAGTAAGGATGGTTGTAGACCAAAGTGCAGCCAATTTCAAACACTAAGAATAGTTTCTAGTTGTTTGAATTGTGCTTGTCTTTACATTTTAATTCTGGTTTTTTTTGTTTGTTTGTTACCCACTGTACTAGGAATTGACCCTCATACTGAGCTCCCTCCTCACAAGGTCTTGCTAAAATTGCCTAAGCTAGCATAAGATTTACTATCCTCCTGCCTCAGCCTCCCAAGTAGCTGGGATTGCAGGAATGTGCAACCTTGCTTAGCTACAATTTCATTCTTATAACTTCTTTTTTAAAAAGAAGTAAAAAATTTTCTTCAATAACCCTGAGATTAGAGTCAGTCTCCCCCTGCCCCCTCATTTTTGCAAGGCTTTTTATTTTAGAAATCCTGAATTAACCAACATTTCATGTATTTCCATTTCTTATCAATCTAACTGAAAATTTTCAGTTAAATAGGCTTAAGAATAGGCTTTCAAACAGAACTGTAATAACTGATTTGTTAATTATTCAAACTGTTCTCCCTGCTCGTGATATCAGTCTTTATATATATATTCTTTACTTTGGTTTGAGAATTTAGTCTTTTTGTTGTTTTATGAAAACTGAAAAGCTATTTAGATTCAGTTTACATTCTTGTTATGGAATATGGCCTTCTTAAGGAGAAGGGAAACGTTAATGACAACTAGTCAATGAATAATTTTAACAAGTAAAGGAGCTACCAGTTTGAGGCAAGAGATGAGTAAGTTGTGCATTTCAGCAGATATTTCCTTATTGACAGTGACATGCCATGCATGAGAAAGGAGAGCTCCAAGTAGACCAAACTGTTTAACTCTACTTGCTTTTATCTCTTCTCATTTCAAAAAGGATTGAGGAGCACTTGTTTCTTGTGTCTTGTGTGGGCTCCAGGCAAGCGGATGGTCAGTCTTTCTCTCTCTCTGACTGACCATTCCACCTCCCACCTTCTGGCTACTTAGACCTCATCTCTGTCATCACCTTAGGTTTTTCTGCTTCTGCATCATAGCCTGCCCCATCACGTCTGGAGCTGACCTGTTTCTGGCCACCAGTCTTTGCTGTCAGAAAGTATAAGCAGACTCAGCTTTCCCTGACACTGGCAGCTCAGTCATGGTACCACAGGATATGGCGGAGGGAATCTGCCATTTCCTGGCTTTTCCAGTGCCATCTCCTAGGGATCCAGCACCACCCCCAACACGTACACTTCCAACTGAGACTTCTTAGAAACTCAGCACCAATGAGGAGCTGAAAATATTACCAGTTGTCTGGGGCTTCAAACTGATTCTGATTCACTTCTAATCCTTTTAAACATGATGCTTTAAAATTAAGAGTAGCAGAAACAAAGTGATTTAGGAAAATGATAATTTTATCCTAACCAATTTCAGTGACACTCTAACATGCTTAAGACAATTGACTGTCTGATTTGATCAATGTTGTTAAAGTGAACAGTAATATTTCCAGAGTAGCTCAAGTAAAATTCTCTCAGCAGGAGCAGTTTTAATGACAAGAAAAACCAAGAGGAGCAACTGAACCTTGGTGTATTGGTGACCTCCTACACTGCCTCTCTCTTCTATTTTTCAGGTACAACGTGTTTGATTGCTCTACTGTCAGATAAAGACCTCACTGTGGCCAATGTAGGTGACTCACGAGGGGTCCTGTGTGACAAAGACGGAAATGCCATTCCCTTATCTCATGATCACAAGCCTTACCAACTGAAGGAAAGAAAGAGGATAAAGAGAGCTGGTGAGTTTATGACCACCTCCAATGACCATCTGTCATCTTGTTTGGTAGACAAGGCAATTGTTTGCAAAGCTCCTAGCATATAAAATGTTCAGTTACAGAGGCTGCTACTGAGGTAGCTGTGACATGGCTTTGTAACATTTGCCTATCAAATCAGTAGCCACTGAATTTTCCCCTTTTCATGGCCAAAGATTCCAAAGGCCAAAGGAGTCCTTTTCCAGTTTAGCAGCTAATAAGATCTTTGGGTCCCTGCTTCCTGCCCATTTTCACCTCTTGCCATACCCTCCTTCCCTCCAGCCATGTCAGACTACTAGTCACTTTCCATGTGAACCTTATTTGATACCTCTGTGCACCTTATTTGATACCTCTGTGCCTTTGCAAGTGCCTTTCCCACTGTTTAGTGGATGACAATTTCTTGTCCCGTAGAATTCAGCTTCAGGGTGTCCTTTTGGGAGCCTCTCATGTCATGCCAGGGTACAATCTCCCTATCTGGATGGGTGTTCCTTCTGTCTTTCCCAGCAGCCTATGTGGACTTTTGGGTCACTTGCCATAGTATGTGCACATACTCGGCTTTCTTACCTGTCTTGTCTTCCTGACTGTGAGCTCATTGAAGGCAAGGATTTGGTCTTGACCATTTCCACACCTCTAGCACTTATCTCAGTGACTGGTATAAGTAAATATTTCATAGCAAGGTGCAGCAGGCCCTTATTCATTCATCATTCAACATGCCCCTTCCCCCAAAAAACCTCTCATGAATTTTTGTTATTGTTGTTTTTTGAGATAGGTTCTCACTATGTAGTTGAGGCTGGCCTTGAACTTACTGTGTAGTCCAGGCTCCCCTCAAACTCTCAATGATCTTCCTGCTTCAGCCTCCCGAGTGCTAGGATTACAGGCGTTGCCACTATAACAGGCATTCTCATGAAATTTGCATTCTGATATTGGCATAGGGATGGAATAGACATTAACAAAAAAATAAGTAAAAGTAAATAAGATAGTATATTATAAGGTGATAACTGCTGTGGAGTGACACAAAGCAGTGAGGAGATGGGACGTATCAGGAGTTGCAGTTTTAAGTTGAGTGGTCTGTGTAGGCTTCAATAAGATGATGCATGACCAGAGACTCGAGAAGGAGTATCAGTTCATTATTATATTTCAGAGTTAGATTTGGGAGATTCCTTAATATCTGTGGAAGAGAATTTCTTCATCCTCGAGACTGACAATCTCATGACATGCCCAGCAACAGACCAGCTGCCAGAGGGAAGCGAGTGCCATGCTCTTGCATACTAGTCTCTGACCAGCATGGGCCCCTGTGTCTGTATTAATCTGCAGATTCACTCTCAAACTCTGCAGGTCAGCTTCCTACCAATGAGCAAATGAAGTGAATCTAATGAACGCTTGACTTTTCACAGTAGGAAGCTGTACTATTAAGTCCAAAAGTATTGGATTTTATTACAATCTCTTGCTTCAGTGACTGCTTAAGATGCAGAATAATTTTGAATGAAAGCTTTGGTCAGGTTTGCTGTTGATGAGATGGAACAATTATTTCACAGCATCTATCAAGCTTTGATAAGCTCCAGACAGTATGAATGAAATACTCTGACTGAGTTCCTTTTTATGAAAGCACTGACAGTGTCCATAAGAGTCTGCTGTGAGCCTGGATTTAAGATACAGGTAGCTCAGTCTTGCATAGCACAGGCAGGAATGTGTACATGATACACCTGGAAATGTCATCATCTCATCCAGCATACTCTTTTGAAGGGTCACTGCCATTTTATCCTCTCTCCCTTTTCTGTGTCATACCCACTACCCTCTGACGCACCATATAGTAATTCTTTCTAGAAACAAATTTGGATGCCATCTTCAAGGAAGTTCATTGGTGTGCTTTGTTCTTTTATGTAATTTGGTCAAGGGCGTATTTTATAGGCAGGATTAAGGAACAATGGTTAGTTTTACTATCTTTGTGTTTATTTCTCTGATCCCAGCCTTTGTGTCAGGACTTCTCACTCCTGCCTAGCATGACAATAAGCTCCAACCAAATACTATACATATTGCTCTTGCTGTCTCCACTCCTTATGCTGTTTCCAATAACAGCATCAATATCAGCTGTCATTCATTTGTTCTCACTCTGTGCCAGGAGCCAAGCCTAATGCTTTACATACATTTTCTCTTTAACTATCTTATGAGGATGATAATGTTATCCTCATGTTACAGCCAACAATTTGGAACCTCAGAGAAGCCTGTGTGTATAAGGACCCACAGCTAATGAGAAGTGAGACCAAAATCAAAACCAGAACAGTTTTATTCCAGAGCTCAGGCTGCTGCCCACTAGACTACACTTGCTAGAATGTTTTATGTTCCTGCCCACAGATATCCTACCGATTACTCAAAGACCAGCTTTAATTTTGTTCCTTCCTTCTTTAATGTTCTTCCTTCTGATCATCACACCCAGAAGTCATTCATCCATTCCCCGTTCTGCCATAGCATTTAGCAAATACTAGTCTCCACTAAAAGAACAGCACCTTGTACTTATAGCATTCAATGTACGCAGCTTACCTCTCCTGTCTACTTTCTAGAGAAAGATTTGTATCTTGTATAACTTTATACCCTGCAAATTGCCTTCCATAGAGAAGGTATTTAATAAGTATCAGATGAATATATGAATGAACAAAATTCCAGCTCCTTTAAAAAATAATGGATAACAATATTGAGTGCATATTTTGTTCAATGCACTGTGTTATGCGATTTATAGGAATAACTCCTTTATTTCTCATAACAGCACAGTGGAGTAGATACTATCCCCATGTTGCAGCTAGAAAGACCAAGGATCAGAGAGAAAATATCTCATTCAAAGTCACACAGAGCCAGAAATAAAATGAGGCAATGTGACCTGAGCTTTTAATGAGTGTACTAAAATGTAATTTTCCCTTAATCCCAATCCTATTTGGGGGTCTGTTAGGAGATCTATTTAGGCACATCAAAGGGTAAACTCAGGCTAAGTGGTAATTCCAGTGATGTCTCTGGTGCCTGTTCCCTGTCTTTGAGCATTCCTTGGCACCCTCCTCCAATTCTTACCCTAGTGCTCTCTGCTGTCAATTGCCGAGATACCATGGCATTGTTAAACTGATGCCCTATCCCTCATGTATACTTTGCCCTTAATGTTCTTAAAGATATATTTTTGAAGGCTTCAGTGGCACCAGGAATGAAGGCATGAGCATCTGCTGCAAGGGTATCAAATCCCAAGCCATGCAGCAGGATGCTGCTTGGTCCTGGCAGTGACAGTGGTGAAGGGGAGTGCCTGTGGCCTGCCTTACATGGAGTAGTTCAGCCTTCTATACGTACACCAAGACTGTACTGGGTAGGGAGATATCAGCTGGGTAAGCTAATGGGGTCATTCTGTCTTTCCAGGTGGTTTCATCAGTTTCAATGGCTCATGGAGGGTCCAGGGAATCCTGGCCATGTCTCGATCCCTGGGGGATTATCCACTGAAAAATCTCAACGTGGTCATCCCAGACCCAGATATCCTGACCTTTGACCTGGACAAGCTCCAACCTGAGTTCATGATTTTGGCATCAGATGGCCTGTGGGATGCTTTCAGCAATGAAGAAGCAGTTCGATTTATCAAGGAGCGGTTGGATGAACCTCACTTTGGGGCCAAGAGCATAGTTTTGCAGTCATTTTACAGAGGCTGCCCTGATAACATTACAGTCATGGTGGTGAAGTTCAGGAATAGCAGCAAAACAGAAGAGCAGTGAACCCTTCAGGGGTCTCAGCTGCCTTAGACTAAAAGACTTTTGACACACTTGTCTCTTTTCAATGTAGTAAAAGGTGTGGGAATTGTAATTAGGATCATCCATCCCAGACACAGAATCTCCCTCCCTGGTGGTTTTAGGTCTATATTCAGTGATGAACAGAGGATAACCCCTGGCCAATGTAGTTGAGAGTCTGGAAAATGGTTTCTTTGTGTTTTCCCAGATCTTTCATCCATGTCCAAAATATATGAATAGGTAGTTATAGATCCATATATGAGGAGAACGGCAGATGTGCTATAGATTCTCCTTTTTAAGATTCTTAAGGTTCATTACAGGTTCTCCAGGCATCAGCCCCCATGTCCTCTCTGCAGTGATGGACAGGGCAGACCTCTTTTGCAGGAGACCAGGTACTGTGTCACTTGTGAGTCAGGAGCTGATGTAGCAACACCCTCTACTGAGGGGCAGAGACGTGCTAGAATGCTTTATCCTCCTGATCCCATGTTCTGCTCAGCAGCCACCAGAAGCAGATGTGGAATACTTTATTACTGTGGGCTATTCCAGGAGACTGAGGGAAGCAGGAAAGATGAGAGTTCAGTGGCAGTTGCCTGCACAGCAGAAATAATCCTTCCCCCTCACTACCTTTCTAGTTAAATAGACTCTGTACCACCTTTGTGTGTTTCTGCATGACTTCACCTTGTGCTTACACTTTACTGTATGTAATAGGCAGCTATTAACTTCACTACCAGAAACCACGTTTTTCCATCTTGTCTTACCAAGAAACCATATTAAGGGAAATGAAAACAGCAGATCACAGTGTCATAATGCCTTCCATCTTTAAGGGCAGATGAAAACAGGAGTGAATGTTTCACAGTGCCCCTTGGAAAGTGGAGTTTCCCCTGGGAGAGAAAGGAATGAGCTGGTGAGACTACTACCCTGAAGTGAGCACCAGTTGCCAGTTTTTGTGCAGCTTCCCCTTCCCTAGCTTAGTAGCTTTCAAATGTCTTTCAAGCAGTTTGAAAGAAGCAGCCCCATACAACTGCACGTGTGTTTCTTGAAACCAATATTGTTCCCATCCACTACAGTTTGGAATTTGGTGGTGAACTACTGGGACATGATTCTCACCAGTAGAGAGGCAGTGGCCTTTCATATTTGGTATGGAATCTCTGCCCACACAGAGTAGCCTTCTCCAGGCAAATGCAAACTACCCTACATAGTCTGAAGGGGGGCCAGTAGGGAGGAACCTAAGTATAGTGGCAGCAAAGCTAGCTGGGAATTCAAGCAAGATCCCATATTGCTAAGTGGGCTATTCTAGAGCCTGGCTTGCTTGCTGCCCTTCCTTACCTGCCACCAAAATTATATTTTTTCCAGCCTCAGTATTTTATACATTAATTTATAGAAAATTCTGGGTTATCTTTTTGCCTGAGGCAGCTCAAACGGCCAAACAAGATTTTTGTTGTATCCCTACTCATGGTATGGTTTTGTTCTTACTGAGTGGACATTTGTCCTTATACCCTCTGGAAAGCCTATACACTGGCCACCTTCTCCCACAATCCCATACCCTCTGTCTTTTTCAGCTGTAGAGCCTTCCTGAAGCAGTTTCCAGGAGAGGACTCAGGAGCAGGTTTAAGTTGTGCTGCTGAGGACTGCAATCTGTCTTGATTCTTTCAAGAACTTAGCTCTCTTTGATGGCAATGAGAATTAATAATGGTTTCCTAAGAGATTTGCTTACTTTTGTATACTGTATTTTCCAATGTTAGAGTTAGAATCTTGGTTATTGATTTTTTAGCCATGGAATGTTTTAGATTTAAGGATTTGCCTCGAGAGACACTGAACATTTGGATGTATATATTCCACGTGAGGATGGGAAGGGAACTGTGGGACACAAATGCCAGTTGTGATTAATAATGGTGGCTGCAGTCAGGCCAGGTGGCTGTGTTTGTTGGAGATTTAGGACATTCTGCACCACTGCCCACCTTCTAACTGAATGTCCAGTATTTTACTGTCCACAGTCAACTTTCCTTTTTTATTTCTGCTTACACAAAAAAGCATAATAATAAAAGAAAAATGTGTTTTAATTTCATAATCACTTTTATTGTCTAAAATAAAAATAGCTATGTTTTGGTGAGGTTGACCAAAAAAAAAAGCTACCAAATTAGGAAATCATTGTTTATTTGCCAAGCAAAATTTCTAAACATAGTGCTGAGTACACGTTACATAATTTTCTAATTAAGGTCCATAAGGCATCCTCTAAGTTTTACTTTGTAAAATTAATTTATTTGTGATTTTAACCAAATAGAGTGTATATCTTACACTTTTGTCTCTAATATGGCTTGTACACTTTTTAATGATAGAGGTTCTAGGCCAAATATTAGCAGTTTGATGAACAGTCACATGACAAATCAGAGTACTTTGTTCCCTTCCCAGTATTCTGGAGCAATCTCTCCCTAGCCCTTTTCCAGCTGTTGGAGTCTTCATACACACTCCTGGGCTCTCCTATGGGACACTGGCTGCTCCCCTTCTCTAGAGGCTCATGAAGGTTGAATCTAGGAGATAGAGAAGTTGATTTCAGACATTTGCATGTGAAGCTTTCCTAAACAGCACTGCCAAAGCTTTGGAATTGTCACTTGAGGCTGCCCGGACTCACTAGCTAGTCTGAGTTCAAATTGCCAATAGTCTCCATGGTGCCAAATTTTGGGATGGTTTTAGTCTTTTAGAAAGGAAGCTGGGACTATATGCTTACAAGTCCAGCAAGATACCATGCCCAGATCCCTGTAATGCACTGGTCTGCTGCTGCTCCACTGGCAATATGTACTCTTGAAATAGGATAGGGATGGGGTAGGGAGGGGGTCCAAGGGGAATTTTTTTTAATTCACTGTAGTTGCAGTTCTTTAATAATAGGAATAAACTGTACTTATATAGAAAGTTCCAAAGCTAGATCTGAAGACCTGCATTTTTTTAATGTGACCAACTTAAGAGACAATTAACGTATGAGACAATTAACTGAGTCTTTGTTCTAATACATGTCTGTATGCGTAGGTATTCATTATTAGAAACCAGTGGCTACATTTGGTCCTTTGCTGTGGATTGAAGGTGTTGGCCTCTTGAATCTTGTATATGTCAAGAGTATTACACAGAGATTGTTATAGTAGAGGAGCATGTACAAGCACTATGATTTAAAACACACCTTATTTCATGCAAGTGTAATGATTTTGACATTTTGCACAGTTGACAAGATTGCATGGCAGTGATGGCCTCATCATTTCAGTCCTCTCTGAAGTGATTCTGGGAAACAGATTACACTATTGGTTTGGATCACTAGGATATCTGGAAATGCATGAAGAATTTACTAAGGGAGTGACCATTTTTTCCTTTGCTAGGCATACCTCTGTTTTCCTGATTTTTTTTTTCTCCCCAAATTGTTGGCAGCTGTGTCAATAGGAAATTTACAATCAAAAAGGGCAACATTTCATTGTATATGTGAATGTGTAGGAATGCATCATTTATATAAAATTCAATTTTTCAATAATTTCAGAAAATTTTTCCTACTTTTGATTATCATTAGACTGATCTTCCCTTACTAGTCTACCCCAAATTGCCTTAGCATGTCACGCCAGCATTCCTGACCCAGCCCTGGAAAAATGACAGGATATATACTTTGCTGGGGCCTGTTTAATTGCATCTGAATGAATCATTATCTAGACTTTTGAACTAGTCACCTATATACTGCAGAAGCAATAGAATCCTTGTTCCCCAAAGTGTATTCCAAACATGCTCTTCCACAAAAGGGTTTCAGGGTCAGAGATTTTTGGAAACATACTCTCTTATAAAGTGTATAGAATCTCACTGAAATCTCTATTCAAATGTCCTTCAGAGGAGGGGAAACACAACACATAATTTGTTACCTCAGTGTTTTCCAAATTAATTTGACCATAGAAATTTTTTTTTTTTTTGATACTGGGGATCGAACACTGGACCTTGCGCTTGCGAGGCAAGTGTGACACCACTGAGCTAAATCCCCGGCCCGACCATAGAAATTTTTGAGTAACACCTAGTAACATTCCAAGGAATTCCTGTTTCCTCAGAACTCACTTTGGGAACTTCTGGTACACTGAGATATTTCTGTTTTCTCATCCACCATGACTCTTAGTAGTAGCAGTACAGTTTGCAACTTAAGCACTAGTCTTTTCACTTAAGCAGTTGACTTGTAATAGAAGCAGTGTTAAAAACTAATAGAATTTAATATGACCACCAGTGCCTCACAATGACAGCAAAAGTCTAAAGTACAGTGGACCCTTGACTTGCAAACTCAGTTCTCTCGAGGGCTGGTTGTAACACAGGTTGGTCAATTGAGGGCTCAGGCTCCTTCATACAGCCTTCAAAGTCTCTCTCCCATATACAAGCAGATCTCAGTGTCATTAGAGAGACACTGGCCCAGGATTTCTCAATTAGCCCCACACAGGAAAGGACGTTGTGATGTTCCTTCCAGAACTCTTTAAGGGTTAAATCTGTATCTGAGACCATCTGGAAGCAAAAGCAGCCAGTATTTGGATCATAATTCAAGACTTTTGTCATAAGTTAAAACTAAAATTCTGGTTGTAACCCAAGTTGTTCATATGTCAGGCCAGTCGTAACCTGAGGGTCCACTGTACTTGAAACTGTATATAAATATCACCTCCCTCCTTTTATGTGAATAAGAAGTACTTCGCCATAGCCAGGCAGTTCTCACATTCATTGCAAAAGCTTTCAGTTTCTTTTTAAATTCTATCTTTGCTTTCTAGATTCTATCAAAATATTTTGTTTCATCACTATGTGGTAATAAAAAATAGAGAGAAAATAAAATAGGAATGCATATTTAGTTTTCATTCACTTTTGAAATCTTAACTAGATTCTTTTAAGTTATCTGTTGTATAATAATGGAAATGTAAACTATTAACTCCTATTTAGTCTTTCCTCTGTTCTCTGCATATTCAGTGAAATAATCTGAAATCAATTACACTTTATATGTCCTAAAATTCCAGTCCAAAGTCATCCTACTTTTCTCATTTTGTTGATACAGTTAATTTTGGCAAGTTATCTTGCCTAAAATGTAAGGCTTGACTGTAATAGTTTCCTAACTATTCCCTAAATAATCCCTATCATCCTGAGCAATTTGTTTGGAAAGTTATGACAGATAACCCCCAAATAACAGATGAACAGTTAAAATAGAAAGTGAATTTAAGATAAAGACATTAATTTAAAGTTACATTCATATATTTCAAAATATGGCCACTTTCTGGACATTATCTAAAATACTAAAAACAAAGATCTGTTAGGCTAGGAGGCAGAGCAAAGGACACTTGGTACTATGAGGCTTTCATTAGGTATACGTTTCTAAGTATGTTCTTAATATGTAAATTTTTGCTGATTCTTAGTAATACTGCTTTGTCTAGTGTTTGTTTTTCCCACTGTTAAGCTGCAAACTGTTAAACTAGGGGTTGATTACGAACACTTTTATGTGTTTAATAATGACTACATCATCATGTATACAATCATTTTAATAAATTTAAGTTAAGGACTTTAAGGATAACATGTAGTAACTTCATTTGGACAAATCATCATAGTATTTTCACTGTTCAAAACTGCACTAAAATGCTGGCATAAAGCAAAGAAATAGATGATACTTAGAGATAGAGTTCCATTTATTCTAGAAGATCTATAATCTGAATTAACCACAAAATAAATCCCACCTGACATCAATTTCAAAATTAATTTTGAAAACTTCCAAGGACCAACATTTTCTAGCTTTGAGGACAAGCAGATTACTCTAAAGGCTCTGGTGGCAGGTTGTGGTGGTGGAAAGGGAAGTTGAGGGAAAAGAAAATCTGTCTGGGTTACTCACTGACTGTGCTAAAGAAGGACTGCATCAGCCACACACATTCTCTCATCATCTTCTATCATAAGGTAGTTCACAAGTTAAATGAGTAATCATGCATCATTTCAAAATATTTCTATTTTAATTAGTTATAGTTCAAAAGGCGATTATGCTGAAGCAAAGACAGAAGTCAAGAAATTGGGGGTACAGGTAGATATAGGATTAACAAACACAAAAATGTAAACATGCATCAGAAATATGGATTACTAGACTTTTACCATATGTAGACTGTATTTAATAGTGAATTTTAACACCTGCACATGGATCAATAACGGCAAGTGTTACCATTCAGAAAACTAGCCTGTACTCTAAAAAGGAACTTTGTTTTTCTAATAGTGAAAGGTGGTAAATTTACAGTCCTACTCCACTTTTTCCCTATAGAGAAAAGATAAATGATCTCATTTATTGCTATCCTAAACACCTTTTCTGTTCTGTGCCCTACTCACTTTCCAAATGTGGTTTTATCCTGTATCTTTAGAATTTTTAAATATACTGAAATAAACCAAGTGGTTATTACTTCATTTTAGAGTGCCCAAATAAAACTGAAATCTTATCACCTTAGTCACAGGTATAACTAAGTGTTTTAACATACTGTTAATTTTTCACATGCCAATGTAAATAACAGTGAGTACCCAATTTAGACTATGAAAATGAACTACAGGGTAACTTAATATTCTTGTTTCATATAATGCAAAGAGACATGATGTTCATATAAATTCTTTTAAATGAATCCTGTAGAAATGATGTATTAAACATCTCCAACCCAACAGAATGATGCCTCTTATGTAAATTTTAAATTCTCATTATTTTAATGGATATAATGAAAGGTGGTAACTGCTAAGTGTTAATTATGAAAAGGAAAATCCTGCTACAACGGGGAAAATCTAGCACCTTGGGACATTATTTAGGCTTCAAGGCTACAATCAAACAGGCCTTTTGTATTTATCATTTTGACTCTCCTTTTATCTCAGATATATATTCAGAAAGTGGAATAGTAAATACAACAATGGGAATGCCCATAACTTTTGCTTCTTTTCTAAAAAGCAGTGTTTGCCCTTTAATTTATCTGAAATAAGTCTTTGCATTGAAACATTAACATCTACCACATTGTCTTTCAGTTTAGTCTTCAATTACTGAAGCAAATGATTTTGATTTATTGCACTTATACAGGTCATAGAGTTGCAATGTATTTAAGAACAATTCAACATTCCCCTGAGCAGCCAGGAAAAAGAAAACAAAAACCAAAGGAGAAATGTTGGTGAGTCTACAAAAATGATTATTTTGATAAATCTAGAAAATAGTCACTAAACAGTTAATTCCAAAAGATCCTAATGTGAACCCTGTTCTTATACATAATTCCTATAAGCAATGTATAAGGTTTTTTTTTAAATAAAGATCACTGCCTTTATAGCAACCGATCTACTTTATAAGCAGATTTCACTGGAGAAGTCACTATTTTTTTTTCTATGAGCAAGTCTTTCCTTATTTTTTTTTTCCTGAGCACCTACCAGGTACCAGGCAGTAACTAAGTGAATGCATCCAGCGGTGGGGACTTTGGTGCCACCACTGCCCTCCAGGGGCTTACAGTCTAGTGGGGACCTCACAAATAGTATAGCATTTGGAATTGACTAAATGGAGTGAAAATTAGTATCTCTCATGATTTTCTCCAGTGGGCTTAGATTTATAAGGATAGGAGAAAATTAGAATGAGTCTTTCTTACCCATAATAGAGTGAATGGCAAGAGATTGGGAATATCTTGCCCACACCCAAGCAAACTGAGTCAGATAATCACTGGATGTTACTAGGTCACCTGCTTCCCCAAGAATAGAGTAGGGAGTTAAGACATAGAGCCCTTGAGGGTAGAACTAGTCCAGTAGAGAGACAATTTAACCTGTGTATGGTAACATCTGATAATCTAGATTTCTGGTGACCTATTTATATTTTTAATGTTTGGCTATCTCACACTAGCCCCCAACCCAGTTCCTTGACCATTAGTTCTACTTCTACTTCTGCACGAACACATGTTAAATTATGAACTGTTTAATTAAAGTAGAAGTACTCTGAGATCATGTGTGATATCACATTTTCTTTATCATTTTTGCTTCCTAGAGACTATAATGTAACAATCTCATGCCCCAAAAGAGAATTCAGAACTGAGAATATTTATCACCAGTATTTCTGAGTATATAAATCAGAAAATTTGTTATACTGAAAATCAACATTTCTGGAATACATATTTCTGGAGTTATTTTCTTCACTTCAAACAAAAATAGGAGACTAACTGCCAGACTATTTTAAAACAGAAATTTGGTGCCCATTACTACTTTACACATTGTAAGGTCTAGGGATGGAATTTAAGTTTTGTATTTTGAACAAAAATAGCACCAACCCTCAATACTACAAAAACAAAACAGAACAAGAGAACAGCAACATATATTTTCTGGAAGAAAAAAACAATACAGGTATGCCTAAATACCATACTTTTATTTTTAACCACAGAACCCTTCACTTCTTTCTAAATTCTATGCCCGTCTTGCCAACTTCCCCAAAGCATTACAAAACTACTGAATTAGAATAATTTTTCCCCTACACATAATAGAAAATCAGTGGTAAGAAATTGAGAACATCTCATTGTGATCAGAAGTTGCCTTCTGTTACTTCAATTTTGATCATGAGAACTGGTAAAAGGAAATTTATAACCAAAAAATTTCTGATTTGGTGAGATTAAAACCAGAGGTGGAACCCTGTTATTAAGTAAGAAAAGGAGGAAAGGATGGGGAGAGAGAGAGGGAAAAGGAGAAGGAAAAAATATACCTTTATTGAGAAGTATTTTTCATGAATGATACCATATCTCAAAAGTTCTGGTCTTTTACACTGCTGAATTGGGAAACAGTGACTTTTTTGTGTAAACTTTATATGCATTTCAACATCATGAAATTGTTCCATCACGATTTTCTTCCTACTTCAAAAATCACAAGGGATTGTTTGAAAAAAAAAAAAGTGCCAGGATCCATAATCTATTAGCAATGTTTTCTTTTTTTGAGTCTCCAGCTGGGGTTTTAGCTGCCTGCCTCTCAAGCACAAGGTCCCGAGTTCAATCCCCAATACCAAAATAAATAAGACTAAGAAAACATAAGCTCAAAAATATCTTTAAAAAAAAAAAATCTCCAAACTGTATTCATTAAATTTCAGGTCAAAAAGATTGCTGAAATCAATTAGATTTTCTGGTAAGTTAGTCTGTAAAAACCATAAGTACAACATATTCTTGAAAAAACCCCATTATGCTCGATACTCTTCAAAGGTTTTTATTCCTACTATTCTATATGTGTCTATAAGAGACATTGAAACAAATTGACAGGTCAGAGTGTGTGGCAGTGCATGATCACTCAAGATGCATGGTGTGTTATTTGGGTCCCTTTGATGCGTGCTGGGGTATGGTAGCATTGTAGAGACTAATGTGTTTATACAATCACTAATTCTGTGTTGTCTACAAAATTAACAGCTAAAAATTCCCCCTTGATGACAAGATTAAAACAAAAATAAACATTAAAGTTACTAAACTTGTGAGACTCCTGCAATTCTTTTCCTTTGATTAAACTCATTTTCCATTCTAGTGTCTGTTCTGGAACTTTATACTTTTGATCTGGACTAAGTGTTTGGCTGGGGTTCTACATAGTAAGGAGAAAACCAATTCATGGGCAGAGGACAAGACCAGAACATAACAGAAGTAAAAGAGGAGGGGTCAGGGATTTAGTTTGGTGGCACGGTGCCTGCCTCGTAGGCACAAGGTCCTGAGTTTGATCCCTAGTACCACAAAAAAAAAAAAAAAAAAAAAAAGAGGGAGAGAGAGGAGATACTAAGAAATTGTGCTCTCATTTGGTACAAGAAAGCCTAGCTCTGGTTCAAAACAAGGTAATTTTTTGAGACGTATACAAATGTATCCAATAAAAAATGTTTCCTGTTAGCACAACTTTTGACCACCTTTGAAATCAGTATTAGGTAATAAAGGTTAGATTAGCTATATGTTTATGCAGACCCTTGTGTGTATGACATGTCTTAAAAAGTATTCAGAAATGAGTATTATCTGCAAAGATTTTCACAAGTTGCAGGAAGGAACATTATAAAATTTAGAGATAGAATAAAATAGATACATTTATGTACATACATACACACATATGTAAATAGGTATTCCAAAGAGAAAATGCAGACTGCCTAGGATTTTGATGAACAAGAAAGTCAAGCACCAGACTGTTGTATTTGGAGTTGGGTATAACAAAGCAGAAAAGGGAGGAGAGAAGACTTGTATAAGGTGAAAGAGTATAATGGGACAAGTCCTTACTCAATTTTTACGTGAATCTAAAACTGCTCTTAAAAAATAAAATATTTTTTTTTAAAAGCTATTACCAAAATTTCCCAGATTTATAATTCCTTAGTCTGACAGAATGCCCAGACTTACTTTGGTTTGCTTAGTTGTTTCTAAATTGAGTTGGACTGTGACAGGTAGTATCACATGGACCAGGACACTGTCTCTACAGCTCTGGGATCTTGGGAGAGGGGTGCATCTCCATGGCTTGCCCCACCCTTGTACTAACACGGCAACTGGTACTATGTTTATGGAGTCAGTGGATGAGACGATTCTCAGAAGGGGACATTTCTAGTAAAGATGTGGCTTGGCAGACAAAACAATGATTGCCCATTCTACCTGCTTTCAAATTTAAGGCTAAAAAATATACAAATTCATTTCTACATGAAGAATGCCCTTTTAAAATTTGCTTTGTTTATATGAAGATTCACTAAAGGAGAGAAAAGCAATGTGCAAAAATTCTTAAAGGCACATATGAAAAAAAGTCCAATAATGAAAGTGAAATGACTGTCCTCATCCTACTATTCATGGAGCCATAAGATAGTTATCATTCAACCTTTAGACACCAAATTGACCTTTTAAATAATTAAAGCTTTTCAACTATTCTTGTCTTGAAACTGTGACAAACTATGCTTTAAATAAATTAATTTCAGTAACCTTGAGGCAGGAAAGAGCTGCAAGGCCTGTGTCCAGAACATTCATCATTTTGTTGTGACTATGAGTCTTGCCAGCTTCTCAGTTATGAAGAGGGAAGAGCATGTGTTGTTACTGTCTGGCCCTGAAATGTTTTCCAGTGCTACTCGGTGAGTAAAAGGCAAGCAAGTGGAACCCCAGCTTCTCTTCTTGTCCCAAATGAGAAGACTTGGATCCCTAGCATGGTAGCTTCATTAGCAAGGGATGTACAGGCTCTTGGAGCTACAACCAACATCTTGTGCTCCTTTCTCTCTGCTCTAGTGAAACTGCAGACCTTGGCTGCCTGAAATGGAAGGTGATCACTTGTAAAGGAGCAAGTGAGGGGAAGCAGTTCTGATTTCCTCCATTCCCAATGAATCTGTGTAGGTTGCTTATTGGGGCTGGGCTCCATCCTTTGGCAAGATTTATACAAATCATTGACCAACTGCTTTTTCTCTACCACATGGGAAACTAAGTTTGGCTTCTCTTATCCCATCTGCCTACTTTCCACTGGCACAGAGCCCCTCATAGAAGGCAAATTGTTCCTTAGGTCACTACAGAAAGGGTGCCCTCCACTGTGAATAACAGACCGTGGGCTCACCACAGTGGTTACTTTGCACCTGCAGGGACTAGAAGTGTGTGGTCGCCAGGTTTGTTTGGTTTCTCAACACAGTTGAAGACTTGGCTCACCACCTCGGTCCCTGCCAGGGCCTTTAGGCTGCCATCCTTGTAAGATTCACACGGTGCTGTAGATCCTGACATCTGACCAAAGAGAAAAGTTGTTTATTCTTTGTCCTTTTTATTCAGGGAAAAACACCCATAAGGTAAAAGCCCTCCAGCAGCCATCCCTCAAGTCTCACTGGGGCTGGTTCACAAACCAAAGAATGAGGCACTAAAAAGGCTGAGGATTCTGTGGACAGAGGCAGTGCCCACCGCACAGAAGGAGGGATGATGCACTGGGCCAGCTCAGTGGCAAGCACAGCCTCCGACCTGTCCTGCCCCAGGCTTTCGCATGACATTTTCACATTCTCTATGCTCTCTCTTCTCTGAAAAAGTCTTCAGAACACTATTCCTATTAACCTTTTGGTATGTTTTTACCTTGCCTTTTCCCACGCAACTTCTGCATGTGTACCAAGAAGAGGAGACTGGGATTTAAAACAGTCTCTGCAGTTACTGCAACCTTTTAGAATGACAGTGTCTACCTTCAGAGATGTAATCTCTGTTTATCTGGGAAATGCCTTGAATGGGCTTCTTTTGGGGGAACATAAGAACCACTCTCCTCCACTCCACCAAGAAAGTGAAAGAAAGGGTGCTACATTGAAAGACAGCGTGGAAATTACTCACTGGCAACCTCCAGCAGGGGTATGCGCTGACAAGAATGCAGAGTGAGCCAAATGTGAGATCAGGAGTATGTTTTAAATATGAAGTATCCTGCTGAAGATTCATGTATTGAGGGCTTGACCCAATAATGACAGCACTGATCTCATCAATGGAATAACCCAAAGAAGTCATAGCTGAAGTCTTTTTCTATTAGGCAGTGAGGCCCACTTGACCCACTTGGGAGTAGGTCACAGGGGGGCATGCCTCTGAAAAGTTGATCTTGTCCCTGGCTCTTTCCTCTCTGGCTCTTAACCTCCCTGTTTCCTGGCTGCCTTGAGGCGAGCAGCTTTCCTCCACCAAGTCCTCCTGCCACGATATTTCTGCCTTGACACAGGCTTAAAAGCAATGAAGCTGGCTGATCATCGACTGAAACTTCTAAAACTGTGAGCCCAAATAAATGTTTCCTCCTTTTAGTTGTGTTTCCTAGGTATTCAGTCACTACGAGGAAAACATGACTAACACAGAAGGCTTTGCCCAGGACTTGTGGAAGGCCACAGTCAATGGGAAACTTACCTAGTGAGACATATTACATCCATGCATAACAAATCATCCCAAACCTAAATAGCATAAACCAAAAAGCTTTACCACAGGGAGCATAACACATTTTTTGTCATAAAGATGCATAAACATGGGTATGTCAAACCCACATTTATTCTTTAGAATATTTCCTATTGATGAATTAATTTTAATTTTATGAGTTTTATTATATTAAACAATGAGTGCTTAGCAGGAAAAAAATCACAAAAATAAAGTAATACATTTTTAATATTATTTATAAAAAAGCATCAAAATTTTCAACATTGACTGGTTTTGGGTGTATAAAATCTAAAAAAGAACTAAAAGAAATAAAAACCTATGTAATCTGCAATGAAAATATCAATAGCACTCTACAAAAAAATCTTTACTTCATTATCACACCTAATGCAGTCTTCACACTATGACAACAGCACATTCCATGCACGTGTATGGCTTACACTGCCAGCACATGTGTTTTGCTTTCCTAGCTTTTTTATAGGACATACTTGACATCTTACTGGTCTTCCTATTTTGTCAGGAGGGTCTTATTATATTGTGCATATGTAGTTAACAGGAACATAAAATATCAATAAAATAAAATATTAAATTCTTAATGTGTGTTGTGCATTTAAAATAAACATCAGCATTTTCACATCCGCTGTTTACTTGCTTACAAAACCTAAAAGATAACATCAGAAATAAAAACTTATATGAACTATAATGAAAATACCAATAAAACTCTACAACAAAAATAATCTTTGCTTTAATTGTCACACCCCAGACAGTCTTTGCATATGAAAATTGCATGTTCCATAAACATGTATTGCTTACACTGATAACACACATGCTTTATTTTCCTGTTCTTTCTTGTAGGGCACAGTTGACATCTTTTTGGTTTCCCTGTTGTTGTAATAGGTCCTTGGGATGCTGCACCTGTCTGTTCACCTGTCAGCTCACCAGTATGCTCTACCAATTTTTTGTGTAGTTCCCTGGGCAGAAACATTTTGTTTTTTCTTTGCTGTAAATGGTCTCTTATGAATCCCAATCCCAGTCCTCTAAGAAAATTTCTCAGTAATATTTTGCACTTGTTTTTTTTTTCTTTGTAAACTATCAAACTATTTATGCCACAAATGTTTAGGATTGAATAAAACACAACCATTGGCCAATGCTTTGTGTTCTGAGAGATATCATAGTTGCTTCATAACTCATCAAAAACATCTACTCCACCTCTGGTTTTGTTGTAGAAAGTTTTCAACTCAGGCTTCTGTTTTGTTGAGGTTTCCATGTCAATATTTCCATCACGGTGCAATGTTGACATCAACAGTACCAGTTTGTTTTTCTTTGGCATATATGAAGCCAGTGTAAATCTTTCTGAAATCCAAAGATTGTATTATACAATTCTCTGTTTTGAAATTGCAACATTTCATTTGGAATTTCTGCTTTGTTCCTCCATAAAGTTCCTACACTGGTCAACTTGTGCTCTGTTAGCAAATGTAACATTGAGTGGAAACTGGCAAATCAATTGCTGAATGACACATCCTGATCAGTTTGGGAGATGGGAGCAACAAGTCTGTTCACAGTATCATTCAGTTTATTACTATATGAATAAGGACCTTATGGCTGAGTTCCATGATAAATTTTGAAATTGAAAGCATAATAAGTCTTCACACCTACAAAGACATAAATTTTTATGTCGTATTTTGAAAGATTTGGGGCATGTACTCCCTGAAGCTACGGCACCCATGAAGTGCTGAAAGATGTTCATCAATAGTCATGTATTCAGATGGTATGTAAACTGCTTGGCAATTATTCAAATATCTGTCAAACAATAACCAGATAGGAGCCAAATTATCAGTTCTTTTTCTTTCTTGGCAGGTGGTTTTGTCATCAAACCTCAGGCAATTTTGAAGGAAGTCAAATCTCCTCAGTGTCATTATTACATTCCTGTGATTACCATGAGGAAGCCCTGCTAAGTACAGCAGACCTATGAATGCTTTCAGTTCAGCTAGTGAGGTGTCATAATAAGTACATTTCTGAGTATGGCTATTGGTGCATATAGAACATTTACTTGTATTTCAGCCTTTGTGTATTTCATAATATTTTGTAGCATTTCATCTGTTACAATTTCCAAGATTGAATAGCAGTGCTGACATTTTGTCCAATGGGTTTCACCCCTGCCAAGGTCCTCACTATATTTTCAGACCTATTTCTAATATTGGATCATTTCATTTGGTTGTGTGACCATTTTGCAACATTTCAACTAGTCAAATATGCACTCACATTGCTGTTTTCTTTGTCATTTGAATCAAGAAGGTCTGCATTCCTTGCATCTATATCAGTCAATTCTTGCTCCATTTCACTGTCACAGGAACTCTGGCTCATAAATCCTAGAGTGGTGTGGGTGTATTATAACCTGTCTGATACCCAGGGAAAAATATGCAAAACCTGTTAGGCAAAGTATAATGTGGGTGAAAATCCCAGTTTGACACTTTTCCACAGGTACACACACCTTGCTGCCTGGCAACCACAGATAGGCAGCCTGTGACATGGACTCACCTGTCTACCCTGGACAGTTCTCTACCCTGGAATCTTCAGAGCATGGCTTGGTGATCTTCCTACAATGTAGCACATAGGTTTTCAGTCTATGCTATTTGGATATTGATGAGAGGAAGCATTAAGGATTTGGAAATATCTGGGCATATACAGCACAGATCACATTACACACAAACCTCTTGATTTTTTATTTTAAATAAATTTAGGTTCATAAAAAAGACCCTACAACTTTTTATAAACACCAGCATACATCACTTATTTTGATGCACTCTTTGATAATGTGTTCCCATATTAACCAGATATGGGATAATCAGGGAGCTGATCAAGAGTATGAAGGGGTTTCAATGACTTGGTCTTTGGTTCACAAAAATGTCCAGAGTTAATTTAATATAAAGCATATTAAGCCTTAGTGGATTGAAAGATATAAAAACCCCAAAGAGGGCAGAACAAGCTTGTCACATATCCACCCTTCTCCTCCCTCAGAGTTGGCCCCTTCCTGTTTCTCTCCTCTCCATCCTGCAATAATTGCCTTCCAGGCATCATAAAAAAGGGGAATATCCCCACTTCATACTCAGAAGTACTTCCCTCTTTATTGTGGAAAATGGTAGAATTCAGCTGTCTAGTTGTAAGAATAGATCACAAGAAGTTTGTTAACTAAGAGAATTAAGTCGTTTCTGGGAAATTCCACAAGTCTGTTTGTTAAAAGAATTCCAGAAAACTTTAAGGCCTTCTAAAAGTCTCACAGGAGAAAAACAGGTTTTCCTAGTTTTCTTATTTACCATTTTCCGGGATCAGAGGACCATGACCCAATGACTCTACAGGTGGTAAGAGAGATAGGACTCACTATGCACACCTGTGATGTTTGTGGTGGGCTGGTGGGCTTGATTTTTGGCTAAAGTCGTCCTGCTCTCTTGATACTACCTGATAAAAAGAGGGCTGCGGTGTGCTCTTTGATGTACGGGATTGGTGAATGGAAACAGGGGACTTGTGAATTCTCCTGTAGCTTTTATGAGTCACTTAGTCACTGGTTATCATCAGAGGTGAAAATCAGAAAGACAATAGCCAGAATAACTAAGCTGTTTTCCTACATGTATAAAAGCCTTGCTTCTTTCCTTTGTGATTGTCCAATAGTGCCAGAGGAATTAAAACTGCTGTTTGTACCCCAGGCTGTCTCCTTTTCTTTCTTTAAAAGTCGGTGCTTTCTGGGGTTCCAGGTCTCCCTCAAGAGAGACCTTTATTAAAATAAAAATCAACATTTATAATAGCTCAGCTCTGGCTGTGGTGCACCTGGAGAATTGATGTAACACAGTAATACCAACACTATTTGGGGCAGAGCAAAGGAAGAATTAAAGAGGGTGAAAAGGCAGATTTCTCAGGGAAGGGCCAAAAGCCCAAAGTACCAATTCCACCTGAAGCCAGAAAAATTCTGATCTACTTGAGGCAGCCTCAGGACCTGTTAATTTTCCATTGCTTTGACAAAATACTGGAGATAACCAACTTTTAAGGAAGAAAGCTTTGTTTTGGCACACAGCTTCAGGGGATTCAGTCCATGGTTTCTTGGTCCCCATTGCTTTTGAGTCTGTTGCCAGCCAGTACATCGTGGTGGAAGCACATGGAGAAAATTGCTCACCTTATGGCAATGAGTGCACAAAGAGAAAAAGGGGAAGGGGCCACAGTTCTGATAGCCTCTTCATGGGCATACTTTTTTTTTTTTTTTTTTTGGTACTGGGGATCAAACTCAGATCCTTCCGCTTGCGCAGCAGGTGGCAAAACCACTGAGCCAAATCCCTGGCCCCTAAGGGCATACTTCTAATGGTCTAACTTCCTCTCACAAGGTCCCACCTCCCAGATTCCATACCTTCCAATAATGCTAAAGGGTGGTGACTGAGCCTTTAGCATATGGGCCTTTTGGCATGATTTAAGATTAAAGCCATAACAGAAATTTAGACCCTGAGGTTCTTCTCCTTTTCACCCACTAGATATGATTAGAACCAGTGTTTCACTCCCCATTCTGTGAAAGAGCAATACAATTCAACATGGTGCAACATGACCTGCAACTACTTCCTGTGAGAAGAATATAGTTCCCTACCTCACTGATGCTTGGCTTGGGATGGGATTTGTTTTGAGGCATATGCCATTGTATTTCCAACAACTTCTTTTCCTGTATAAGAATGGTATGCCCCAGACAAGGGCTGCCATTTGGCCTGTGTCTTGGAATGAGAAGACACATGGAACAGGGTCCCAGCAATCAGTGGCATGCAATATGAGTTTAAAGAAAACATTGCTATTTGAAATTTACTACTTGAAAGCAACAGACATGCAATGAAAAAGAACAATAAAATGACCTACCTGTTTTGTCATAATAATTTTAGAGATGTTTTAGGAAGGAATCCTTAATTTGGAAGGAACAACTTTATAAACTTTGGGTCTGGTAGTTCTAGGTATTAGAGTGAAGAGAAATTAATTTGTATTTAAAAATTTTTCTTTGATAGTCTTTTGAGTTAGCATCTCAAACATTAATATAATCTTCTGCAAAACTGATCAAACCTAATCATGTCACAAAAATAGCTACAATCAGTCTTAAAGAAAGTGACTTCTTTATGGATACGATTAGATAGGGCATAGGTTGACTCCATAGACTATTTCACTTAATTGATTTTCTTAGTACCTGGATCAAGTCTGTGCCCAGAGAAGCACAAATAGCCTTGTTATAGAGACCACACATTATGGTAGTTTTAGCTAAAGTTAGGTTTTTCACAAGGAAAAATTATAAATATATGAGTATTATAAGAGCTGACCACATATTTTCAGGCTAATTATCTCCTACAAAAACATTTACCCCTTTGGTTGTATATAATTAAGAAAAAAGCAACTTATCAACTCTAACAGAAAGTTGCATAATCCCAGGATCATGGGACAACCAGCCCTTTTTTATCTAAGAGTGGCAGGTCCAACAAAGGATACACTGCCACTCCTATGAAAACATACAAGATTTAAATCAGACTTGACTTCTGACTACATATCAGGCCTTTCATTTTCATGACAAATAACAGCAGCCAATACTTCTTTGTCTTTTTTCCTTTTTATTCACAATTAAACTGTTAATGAGGAAATACACAGGGAAGATTAACAATGCAACTTGGATATTCAGTTTTTCCAAATCAAACTCTGGAATACACTTTTCATAAATTCCTGGCTGTCAGGTTCTTGCCCTTCTTTTGTGCTTTCAAAGTCTTTTCCAAAAGGAAATATACTGCCTGGCATTCTATATGACTCCTGAGTTTCAAGAGGAAAAACAAAACAGATGAATGACATCTAAAAGCACTGGGGACTATGTTTTTAAAAACAAGATGACAATAACTCAGATTTTCTTGCTTTAGTTCTTCTTTGTATTATTACAGCAAAATATGTAACAAGTTCAAGAGATTAGTACTCAATAATGACCTATGGCTTCACATTAATGGGGTATCAATAATAAAATGATCAGTGAAGTAACTGGAACAAAGTTCAAATGTAAAAAGTGATTCACTATTCCATTTATACAGTATTTAAACCACCATAACATTTAAACATTCAGAAAGTCTGAAGTAATATTAAATAATAATTGATAACTCTGAAATATTGCAACATCATGAAATATCTTCTGAATGACTGAAAACAGATGAAAGTTGTTCAGTATAATTTCAGTGAAGTTTCTTTACACAGAACTACATACTTTTTAAAAACTGATAATCCATGTAAGATACACACTAAACTCCTAGACTGTTCAATAAATTGAACTCCACAATGCTTTGTTGTTATACATTAATGAGCTTATAACTCAGGGAAACCCTTTTAAGAAGTCCTAATATATAGAATGACATGTTCAAATTGTTTGGTCCCATTAATTTTATGAGCAAACACCTCTGACTCCTTTGTAAGATGTTTAATTCTGCCAAATACCATCTTAAAAGACCTCACTTGAATTTTATCAAAATAAATCACAAGTACAGCATACCCCTCCAATCTCCATTGAGTTGCACATCAGTGTGAGCCAGCACACTGACCTTTCCAAGAGTTTTCTACAGCACTCTCCACAAAGTAGGCTCCCCTTCACTAGGCTTTTGGTAGAGTGTGAAGTTAATAATGGCATGTGGTGTTTCTTAGCATAACCTGCCAAAATGTGATGATTTCCTTAGAAGAAAATCCATGGGCTGCAATCACACGTCTGAGCTGACAGACATCCAAATGGATTCTATACAAAAAGAAAAGGTTGGTATCTTCTGGAATATGAATGTCCACTTTTAACAAATTCAAACAGATCCCAACATAAACATCTTCAAACTTGATGGGTTTTACGTGACTCATCATTTCATAGATCCTTGGCACCAAATCTCTGGACATTATATACCCCAACCCACTGCAGTAGGGAGGGAACACCTTGAAAGGATACTCCTGATATGAAATATGAGGTTTTTGGTAAAATCCTCTGTAGGAATAATTATCAATTAGAGGATAACCTGTGAAAAACTTCTCTGAGTGGTTTAAGTTTAAAAGATACTTCACTAAATTACCAGTATTGACAAAAACATCAGTGTCTGTCTTCATGACGTACCTGGCATTGGGGCAAAACTCAGTTACCCACCTGAATGCCATAATGGTTTTTAAGGTCAGGTTATTATATGTGTCTAGAAAATCTTGTCGTATTATGTCACCATAGAGAAGGTGCTCATCCTCTAAGGACAGCGTTAACATTTTGTCTTCCCTTTCAGACTGTTGGCCTAATAAGAAAAATGTAAGAACTTCATATCCCCACCAAGACTTTTTCTCACCCCAAGTAACTCTAATGGCCTGTCTCGCTTTCACATCTGAGGGATGCGAAGTCACAAGGATGACCAGAAATGGGTTTTGATGAGAGCAGTTTGAATGCTCTCGAAGTGTGAAGCGAAAGTCTTGTCTGTAAACTGGCTCATACTCATAGAAGTACATCAAGTTCACACGCTCGATCACATTGTAATGGGGAAGGCTGAGGTACCACATCACCAGGAAGCTCAGGAGTGACAGCAGCAAGAGGCTCCATTTAAGGGACCTCAGTGACATCTTACTGGGAAGGGTAGTCAAGAGATCCAGGGCCATCCACAGCAGCTGAAAAGAATTGCAGGCACAGGTTCTGAAAGATTTATTGAAGATCAGATAAAAGCCCACTAGCCCAAACACACTTTCTGTTTATACTGATTATCTATTCCAAGAGAAAGAGTAGAACAAAACCTCCAAAGCAAACCTAGAAGTCCTAGTCTTTGAACACACAGTTCTTCCTTTTAATACTTATGAAAATAAGCAGATCTCAAGACTCCTTGCCTTCTCCATCTAGCCGTGTTCACCTATTCTGATTACTTTTGGCCATAATAATCTTTTCTACCTTTAATGGTTTCTGTATTTTAAGTCACATAATATAATGGAATGTTTTAGCAAACTCTCTTCAATTGGTTCCACATATATATGTCTTGCCTCCACACTTACATTCATCTTGTTGGCAAGGACAACTTTTCTCCCAAGTAAAAGTGCAAGATGGAGAGGCCCATAGCAGGAGTGCAATGACACTGAAGTTTAATATGCAATTTCCATTCTCAGAAGGATACAATGTAGATCTGTCTAGCTTCCTCCCTTTCTTACTACTCGAAGAAAAGCATATTTCAAAGCTATATATATATGTCTATTTCTTACCTTCTTGATTTATTTCTTCTGAAAGAACTTCAGTTTCACCAAATGAACATTCAGCAGTATGTAGTTATCAAAAATGATGCTGAAGATATCTGAAAGACATGTAAGAAATTAATAGCATTTACTTATGAGTCAGGGGATTGGGCGTCAAAGAAGGGAAGGAAAACCTTTATTCCTCATTCCTTTATGAACTATGAATATATGTTGAAATAAGAAGTTACAAAAAAGACTGCTTGTCCACAGAATTCAGAGTTTATATCATCATCATGGAAAAGGGGCACTTGGTATTGATAAATAGTACAGACTAAAGATTTAAAATAATTGCTTCTCGGCCTTTTGGGTAAGATCAAGTGAACATTTAAAATATTTAAAGGGTGTGGATGAAGCTCAGTGGCAGGCTGAATAAGGCCCTAGGTTTTATCCCCAGCACGAGGGAAGAAAAAAACCACTCATATTTCTAAGTTTTCTAATAACCTGACGTCTTATATCACCCTACCACAGTTCTACTTCCCGTGATAAAGAAGCTAGGTTGCTAAAGAAGTGAAACAGGAAATTACCAAGAAACATTCTGCTGGTAGAAGCTCTCTGGAATTCTCTGCTCCCTATATATACTCAGAGAAGGAACCCCTCACATAAAAATGCCAATTACCACCCCAACCCACTCCTGCCCCTCCTAACACTCATAACTACCCAAGACACATTAATAAACTGGTAGGTTCAGCAGTGTGAAGAGACAAAAATGTGGGAAAAAATCTTCACCTGCTC